TGAAAAGGCCTCCTGCCCAGAGCGGGGAGGTGCTGACCGCCCCCCGAGTCATGCTGCGAGCCGGGCCCTGGGGGACCATCGCCTCGCTGTAAACAGCAGCTCTCTAGGTATGTCCTTTGACACACCTGTGCTCCAGGCTCCAGTCTCACCAAGACTCCTGAAAATCCAGGTCAGCAGACGCTGGCCTTAGGAACACCCCATCGGGCTTGGTTAGCGGAGACCTGCTTCCCTCCCACTAACGCCGCCTTCTCACTCCTGCGATGGGGAGGCGTCGCTGGATGGAGGCTGTGAGACACGGTGCCGGGCGTGTGTCGTGCGGTGTCGACGCGGTGCCCCCCGCCGAGCGTGGGTGGGTTACACGTGCTCTTGTGGGAACGGGGATATAGGTCACTGTAAACCCCCTGCCAGCTCAGGTCTGTATCCCCAGCACCTCCTCGGAGGAAGCCCCGTCTGTAGCAGAACAGCTCTGTCTGGAGGCCACAGAGGTCACCTGGATGCTGCTGTCGCGATTCAGGGGAGGGGGTTCGGAGCGGAGGCTCGGGTGCCCTGAGCCCTCCCGGGGCTGGGTGGCAGTTTCCCTCCGCGGAGCTGGACCCTCCGAGGCCCTACCCCGGACTGGCGGCGTTTTCTCTCGCCTGCTGTGCGGACGTGCTGCCGCCTGGTTTTAGCTTCAGGGTTACCGTGGCCCGTGTCCTCCAGGACAGTCATCATCCGATTAGTCCGCCTGCGAGGGAGGCTGACGCGTGCTGCCCGCGTGGCCTGTGAGGCTGTTGACCTTGAGAATTTAAATTCTCTGGACTAAAGCTCAATCTTTAGTCACAGGGCCAGGACCCCCTTCCATGTGGTTGGGCTCCTTTTCCAGCATTTTCATTGTTTTGGTTTTCTCCCTAGATTTGCAGTAAGTGGTGACAAAGTATGAAACATTGGAGGCAGGGATGCTGACGGATCGAGTCCTTGTAACGTTTGCCCAACCGGAGCATCTGGGTCTTCTGGAGGGAATCATCTCAGGTTCCGGGGCCACCCCTAGAGTTTCTGATTCAGGAAGTCAGGGGCCTGAGAATTTGCATTTTAAGTTCTCAGGTGACGCTGAAGGTACTGGTCCAGGAAGCAGAACTGGAGAAACACTTAGTAGAAAAGTCTTTAAATCTAGTGCCACCTTCTCCGCTGATTGCCCTTGAGCAAAGTGCCAGCTACTGTCGTGGGGGGATGGACGGACACACGGACGGATAAGGATGGATGGGTGGGTGGATGGACGGACACACGGATGGATAAGGATGGATGGGTGGGTGGATGGACGGACACACGGACGGATAAGGATGGATGGGTGGGTGGATGGACGGACACACGGATGGGTAAGGATGGATGGGTGGGTGGATGGACGGACACACTGATGGGTAAGGATGGATGGGTGGGTGGGTGGACGGACACATGGACGGATAAGGATGGATGGGTGGGTGGGTGGACGGACGGATGGATGGATAAGGATGGATGGGTGGGTGGATGGACGGACGGACGGATGGATAAGGATGGATGGGTGGGTGGGTGGACGGACACACGGATGGATAAGGATGGATGGGTGGGTGGATGGACGGACACATGGATGGATAAGGATGGATGGGTGGGTGGACGGACGGACGGACGGATGGACCCATGGACGAGGTTGCACACAAGACAGTAAAGATAGAAGCTCTATCACATTTCAGGGTTTTCATGTCTCCTGATGAGGGCTAACAACTCCTAGCTCTTTGCATGTTGAAGGAACAAATCATTGGTTTGCATCAGGACGTAAGCAGTGAGGCCGTTCAGCCCCGGGACCCTTACTCTTTATCCAGACGTCTTCCTTTCTGCCCTTTCGGTCCCATCATCTCATCTTTTACACCACCTTTAACCACAATGCAAGAAGCTAAATGCACCTGCTGTCCCAGCTGCTAACTCGGCCTGTTGGGGGCAGGGATGCTGTCCCAGCACCATCATTCTAGCAGCACCTGAGTACATGGTGTTCACGTGTCTGACCTGTTCCCTTTAAGGATCCAGGCGTCCCACAGCCGTGTCCTCTGAAAGCCGTGATCAGTTGCAAGAAGGGAGGCTTTGTAGGGTTCCTATCGCTGAGCTCCCTAGAGAGCCCCGGCAGAGGGAAGCGGATGTAGCTCTGTGCCAGGCCTGACCTGAGCCGTCTCTTTGTAGGGAAAACAGACACCGTTGGGTGGAGAGGACGTGCAGGAGACTGACGGCCCGGGGGAGGGGCCGCTGCAGCCACAGCCTGTCCTGGCCTGTGCGGCCTGCACCCCGCGGAGTCCGCTGTGCGCTGGGTTGTTCCTAAGGAAACCGTTGGGCTCTGCGGCTGGTCGTTGTGGTCCTGCCGCCCCCCTGCACTCCCGCCCCACCTGGGACAGCCTGGCTCCAGCCCAGGACTGCCACTTCCGCCCCCAGCGCGCCCACTTCTGGCCCGAGGCGGGCTCTGCCCTGGTCGTGCCTGGTCCCTCCAGGATGTGCCCGCCTGGGCAGGGGACTTCCTCCCTTTGGTGTGGCAGGGCTTGTGGTGCCTCTTCTGTGTCCAGGGTCCCTGGTGACGCTCACCCCTTCCTCCGGACCCCCGACGGTGCCCACGCCCTGTGGTTGGCATCGCTGGGGCTGAGCTGCCTTTTCTCTGTACCAGCCTGAGTCCTACAGCCAGCGAGGCGGCCCGGCCCCCCTCCCCTACCATCAGCGCTGCGAGGAGGGTGGCCACCTCTCCCCGCCCCCTCGTAACACTTCCTAGGGGCTTGCTCAGGATGGTAGATGGAGCACAGCACTCCTCAGCTTTGGAAAGTGGCAACAGTGGCTTTATCTGAAGAGCTTCCACACACAGCGAAGCAGTAAGTGGGGCTGAGGGCAGCGTTTGCTGAGGTTTCGTGAACGCGCCTTGGTCACCCGCCCTTGCAGCTGTCCTCTGTCTTGAGATGCTTGTTGCAACCCCGGCTTCCTCCCCAGGACTGAGCAGGGTTGTCTTTCTGATTTGCCAGGTACCGCCTCTGAGGTTCCAGAAGCGCCAGGCTTCACGTCTCCTCGAGATGTAGGGACTGTTCTCTTCCTGGGGAAGTTGTGCTTTTCCTGGGTCGCTTCAGAGTGAACCCGCGCGATGAGGACGCAGGGGGATTTTGGGGTGAGCGTCCCCCAGCTGATCGGCAGCTGGAACCTGGTTCTTTCTTCTCTGGTGGGTGGGAAACTCTGAGGATTCACTAAATACCTCTTTGTTAGGTGTTTGGTTTTTCATCTTTGGAGTTTGCTTTTCCCCATTCATAAATAGACCAAACATGGGCAGTTGACGAGTCAGAGAAATCGTGTGCTCCTCTACAGGACTTAAGGTTTGAGCAAATGATTGTCAAAATCTTGTGTTTTGATAAAAGGAAGAATTATATTTTCCCAAGTAGAAGTCAGCATGTAATTAAGAAGCTCCCTTCAGCCTCACACCCCCTTGCCCCGTGCAGAGCTGGGCCTCTGGCTGGCCACGCCCTGGCCTCTGTCATGCGTGTTATTAACTACATCATTTGACTAACATCCCAGTAATGAAAGGTAGGGATTCTCCAGGCGAGTGAGAAGGAAAAGGAAGTGTCCCGGGGGAGTGGGAGTTGGCTCAGGGGGCCAGGGCCGATGACCCAGGCGGGGCAGGTGTGCAGAAGACACACACGGGCGAGCCCGGGGCCCAGACCCCTTTCCCCAGCTCAGACCCCACAGATGCACACGTATGAGAGGAAGTCGAACTCTGGGGAGGAGACTTTCAAGAAAATTTCAAGTTGAAAATACAAAAGAGCTGATGGTTGTTTCTCCGCTTTCGAGCTAAGTGCCTCTTACGTGTCTCATTTGGGGTTTCAACGAATGCTCTGGGTTTTTGCTTTATTCCATTATTACTGGTGTGAAAGAAATGAGTCCCAGCCTCAAAGCATGACCAGTTCCTCATGCTTATCGTCATCTGCGTGGCCGTGGTACTTACTTCAGCAAAGGAAAGAACTGGTATCAAAATGTCCCCAAATGATGACATCTTGGACGAGATGTTAGGGACGGTGCACTAATGCCCCCCACACGACTTCACCTTTGTAAGGGTGCTTTGTCTTTAAGGACAAGATGTTTTACTGTTTTGATTCCTGAATCCTTAAGGAGGGGAACGTGTCGTTTGTCATTTGATACTTAAATGATAACAGAATATGGAAAGCAGTTGAACGCACCTAGATGGTAGGTCTCCGGGGTTTTTCAGTTTATAACTATGCCTCCATCAATTGGAGGACTAAAGTTTTTACTGTCTTCTCCTCTGAAACCACACCCTTAGTGTGGACAGGATCACTCATTCCTGTGGACACTTTCATTCATTCACTCACCGGACGCTTAGGGAGCAGAACCAAGGCCGGGCGAGCAGGGCAAGCACGTCCACCACGTGGAGTGTGACTGCGAGGTTCTGTCCGGATCCGGAAGCTTCGCCGGGAACAGTCCTCAGACACAGCCGTCACTAAACGTGATCAGTGTTAGAACCTGAGCAGTTCATGGGCTGCGTGCTTGTTCCCAGCACAGGGAAGACCCTTATGTAAAATGTGGCCCAGCCACGACCCAATCCGTGTCTTTGATTTTTGTGGGAATTCCCTGGCGGTCCAGTGGCCAGCATCCACGATTCCACTGCAGGGGGCACAGGTCCGATCCCTGGTCAGGGAACTAAGATTGTCCATGCTGCAGCCAAAAAGAAAAGAAAGAAAGAAAGAGTTTTGCAAACACAGCTTAGAAAGGACCTGAATCACCTTGTCACCTGTTATCTGTGTTTTCAAAGATTTCTAAAGTCATACGCCTTGGGCATCATCTCCACATGTTGTCATGATTGGTCAGTCAGTTGTGACGTATCCTTTACTTAAAGAAATTAAGCATATCATTTAAGAAGCTCGTTTTTAAGAGTAACTAGTTCCAGACTCTATAATGGCCTGTTTCTCCACACATGGTTTTATTCCTAGGTTACAGAAGCCTCTGAGTTTTAGAACCATAGCAAGTCCTACAGGTTACCTTGATCGCCCAGCTCCCAGAACTTTCTTTGTTAGAGGGAAGACATGTGCCTGGAAATGACAGAAAGCATCCCTCCTCGACGCCCCTCCTGAACACGGAACAACTTAGGAGGGACTGGCCGCGCGGCTGCCTCAGGAACCGCCACTAGTGGGACCACAGGTTGTGGCCGAGAGCGGTGCCAGGTCACGGGGCCGGGGCCGAGGAGGGCTCGTCGGGTGTGTGGCCGCCTGTGGACCTCGATGCTCACTGGACCCGAGACCACACAGCCAGAACGAATCCCCTCTCCCCCCGACCCAGTGCAACAGGGGCACCAGGCACCAGGTCGAGGAAAAACCCAGGGGGGGATGAGGTGGGCAGTAGGGCCATGCTTGTCCGTGCTCCGCGGGGCAGGGGCTCCTCGGGTGCAGGTGTGCTCAGCGGTGTGACGGCTTCATGGGAATCCACTGACTCCACGTGTGAGCCACGGGCTGCCCTCTGTACGCGGTGTCCCGAGAAGAGCGAGGGGCACACTTTTTGCACCTCAGTTCGGAGCGTGGTGCTCCCGCCTGCATCCTGCCCCCAGAGGGTTGAATTTTCAATCACCCAGTGTCTCACTTGGCATCAGACCTGCACTGAATGACTCCCCGCTCCCCTGGCAGGATTGAAGGCTCTTTTACTGCCAAAATCCATGCCATTTATGGAATTTCCTAGTAACTTGAGGCCCCATTGTATGAAGTACACCCCTGGGTCCAGAGAAGTGAGTCCGGTTCGTGAATGGCCTTCAGCTTACCCGGCCAGCGTCCTCCCAGGAGCCCTGGCTCTCAGGAGTCTTTGTGATTTTTTCACGGGGTCTTGGGGAGGAAACGCCCGCCAACTGCTGGCAAAATCCCGCAGTCTCAGGAGGCTCTGACACCCGAGGCTGCAAACGTGTGAGACAAAGAAACCAGCGGTTTGTGAGGGAGGCCCCAGCGCAGGGCAGACTTTTGGAAAAGGGTTTAATTAGTAACATCTTTAAAACAATTAGATATTTGGGAGAAAGTGGATTAACCCCAGCCACTGGGTGGGAAGACTGTACTGGGTCATAAACCGTCTGCACCGGTGCGCGGGGGCGAGTTCTGACTCACCGGCCCGACCCCCAGCGTTCAGGGGTCTCTGTGGAGCTGCACGCATGGGGAGGGACACAGCCCAGGGCGACGGCTCGCTGCGGGTCCCGGTAGGGACCACGTTTCCACGTGGCTGTTCCCGAGGCGCTGCACCCTGGTTGCGGGAAGGGGCCTGTGTCCCGGACGTGCCACATCAAACGCACCATCTGTTTCCTCTGGATCGTGTGCCGGGCCAGCCTCTCTCGGAAGCCGGTGCGAAAATGCAAGCGTGGACGGCGTCCGCTCCGGCTTGGGTGTCGTGTCGTGTCGGGAGCGCTCGTGGGAGGAGGGTGAACCAAGGCGTCATGGTGTGGCCCTGTCACCCGGGCTCCGGGAAGGGCACCCAGGTGCTCCCCCCGCCCGCCCTGCGACCTTGAGCATCTAGTAAGCGCCCGGAGCCCGGGGAGCCTCTGTGTCACATGGCGTCATCGGCACGGAGCTGCGTGCAGGGCTCTGCCACGCCCAGGGTGCCCGGCCGCCGCCCGCAGCACAGGCGTCCTGGGACGGTCCCGGGCGGCCTGCTGGGGGGCCTTGGCCGAGGGGCGGCTCAGCGTCTCTGTGTGGAAAGTGTTGCTCACCAAACAAAGCAGCGTTAGGGTTTCCTCTCCCGGAGCCGAGCTGCAGGAGTGACAGGGGGCGGAACTGCCGGTTTATTTCAAGAGAGCGGGGCCGGCGTCCCCTGAGGCCCTCCTGCCACGTTGTTTGTTTGGACCTGAGGCTTCCTGAGCTTGGAAGGGGCTTTGGCTCTAGCGGCCCCCGAGGCTGGGAGCTCCGCCACCACTCCCCACCCCCAAGGAAGGAAACGCCCAGGACTTGCAAGTAGACAGCCGAGCCGAGCCTCGCCCACAGCGGAGCCCTTCCCTGACGAGTCCTGCGCCCTGCAGCCAGGCCCCCCGGTGCGCAGCTGCCCGAGTGGCCTGGCGGTGCCGGGCGGTGTGCGGACCGTGGCCTGGACGTGCACGGCAGACCCGAGGTCACCCGGGGCCTCGTCCCAGCGCAGCGCGCAGTGCGCAGCCCACGCCCGGCACCCCCGCTCCACGTCCCGGCGTCGGCTCGGCTTTCGAGTGAGCGTCCCCGACGGAGCCCTGCGGGGCAGCCCTCGAGTGAGCCCGTCCTGAAGACCTGCTGCCGCCGCCGCCGCCGCCGCCGCCGCTGTGTCCCCGGTGGGGAGACGACACGATGGCCGAGAGGGGCGCGTCCCGGGGCCCCCCCGGGCGCTGGCTCTGCCCGCTTCCCCTGCTGCAGTGCTGGAGGCGTCGGGCGGCCTCGCGGTGCCCACAGCCCGGTGAGGCGGGACGGGTGGCGCTGGCCGCGGGGCGTGGGAACCAGCGCCTGGGTGCCTTGGCGGGCGGGCGGCTCCCTGTATATTTCTTTCACCAAAGAAACGTGTGCCACTCACAGGACTTTTCGGAAAAAGGCTGGAATAGAAAAGCCGTGTTGGGCAGCCTTGACTGAGGCTGGGGTGCGGCTCTTATCTGGTTCACGTTGTCCTCTGTCCCGAGGGCCCCGGGCTCTGGCTGGGAAAGGCTCAGCCAGACGGCGCAGGACAAACACTCGTGGGTCTCAGAGGATGGTTTTCCTGGCTGACTGCCCCAGGAGTGGGGCTTTCACGGGGCTGACTTGGAGAAAAGAGCCCCGTCTCCCTGCTCTGCTCCTTCGGCGGGGGGCCCCTTCCTCCTTCGGGGACCTGGAAGGCGGAGGGTGGGTGCTGACCAAGGCACGCTCCGCACAGCCATGAGGCTGGGATCGCTTCCCAGGACAGACGCCCGTGTGTCTGCAACGTGCGGCATCAGAAACAACAGGTCAGAGCCGGCCCCTCTGTGGCTCGGCCCACGGTCCTCTCCTTTTCGGGGAGTGTCGGACAGCTGCCCGGTGCTGGGGGGCACCGAGAGAGGGGGCAGGGCGCCCCGACTGGACGGAGCTGCGCGCGTGGCCCCGGTGGAGCTGGACTCAGCCTCACGCTGCTGGCTCCGTGGCCGTTGTTCTGGGCTCAGCCCCGTCAGCGCCCACGACGCAAAGCCTTTCACCAGGTCCACTGACTCCTGCCCTAAACTCAGCGCGAGGGGCCGTCACCAGGGGCTGCGCGGGCCCCCGCCTGGCCCGGTGCACACAGGGGTGTGAGTACTCCGTCAGACCTTCTCCTGTCTCCCTCCCAAGCCCGCGGTGGGCTGGGCACTCCACCCGGGCGGCGGGGTCCCCGAGTAGCCTGACCGGACGAGCGCTGGCGCTGGGGATCTGCGCCGTGGCTTTTAGGGTGGCACCCAGGACCCCCAACCCCAGAAGGACTGAATTGTCCTGATGCCTGGGGGGGAAGGGTGGGGCCTGAGTCTGCCCCCCCACTCTCCAGGTGTGCGTCGGGGCAGTGGATCTGGGGCTCCAGGGGCCCTATGCTATGAAGTGGGGCCCCGAGGGTCCTCTCTCTATGGAGCAGGGGGTGGCTGTGACCATCGGAGATCTGGGGAAAGGGGGCCATGTGACCGGAGCAGCTTCTCTTTTCCTGGTCAGCACATTAGACGCCTTTGTTCTGTGCTCTGCCTGTTGGTCGTGAGGATCCAGCGTGGACGGTGGGCAGTTACCTGCTCTGTGACACACGTGGCCCCTGGTCAGTGTGGTTCCATGCAGCCTCCACCTCCCGCTCTGTCCGTCTGCTCCCCACACCCCGCCCCGTCTGGCCTGGCCTTTCTGGGATCAGTTTCCTCGTCCTGCAGGAGCAGTGCCCAAGCTCTCGGGTCCCCACAGCATCACTTTTTCCTGCTCCCATAGAAGCAGTCTGGCCTGCCTGTGAGTTTGCCCTGGTTCCTTCCTTGCAAACCCATCCATGCACATGTCTAGGTCAGGCTGGCCTCTGCGTCCCATGGACAGACCTTCCCAGGCGCCTCAGCCGTTTCCCTGGGGGGAGTGTGGAAGGAAGCACCTTCAAGTTAGGGGATGAACAGGTCAGACTTCCCGCTGCAAGGCGAGGGTGCAGGAGAAAGTGTGGCTGCGAGGCTGTGGTTTTCTTTGATCGCCAGAGTGGACATGATCAGTTCATGAAGGGGAACAGGGACAGCTACCTGACTGTCGCCTCTGCTCTGTTCCTACAAGGAGCTGCCACCCTTTCAGAAGCAGAACACTTCCTGCAGTGGGCCCTCGAGCAGTGGGGAGGAGGGTCCACTCTGCTCTGGGACATTTGGGACTGAGTCCCAACGAGCAGGAAGGCCAACTGCTTCCCTCAGAATTGACAGTTCTTTATAGGAAGGTGTTCCAGGTTGTCACGGACAGTTTTGCACAGGACCAGGACTGATTTTTAAAGAAGCAGATAAACCCACCTTAGGCGCGTGGGCGAGCTGATCACTGCAAGTGAGCGCAGAATTTTCCCTTGAGCTTCCTGGCAGCAGAGGCAAAAAGGGGAAATGTTTAAATGCAAGGTCACGTGCCCAGAAAAAGGCCCTTCTGGAAGGAATTCTGGAGGAAAGCGGCCGCTCGTCTGTGTGCCCTAGAGGCACTGGAACACTCAGTAGGCGACGTCTTTGGAAGGTTTTCTTTCTTTTGGAAAATCGATGCACCTGAAAACGTTGAAAACAGCCCTAAATGTCGGTGAGGCCCCTTCAGAGTCGGCTGAGGCATCAGTGTGGTTCCAGCCTTTGCCGGGGCCCCTCCCCCCATTGTTCCAGGAGAGCCTGTGTGAAGTGGGATCTGACTCAGGCCGAAACTGTCTCAGGACCGCGCCGTCATGCTCAGGACACCAGGCCACGGGCCGCGGAGCTGCCGCTCCCGTGGGCCTGGGCGGTGGAGGCCCAGGTCTGTGCCGAGGCGCCCGAGAAGCCCCGGTTTCCTGAGAGTAGCCGCACGTGGGCACGCATTTGGGAAAGTACAGTCGACGCCCGGCCCTGACGCTCTTGGTCTTTCCCGCTCGGGTTTTACGTTGTGAACGCGGTTTTCATCTTTGTGGGAGTTAGAGAAGCTTCAGGCACTTAGCCTCGCCGCGGTCATTCCGTTTGGCTTCTTGGAGCACACGGCTGGGAGCTGATGGGAGCTGTGAGGACGGAGAGAACGTGCCGTTTTAGTTACAGTGCTTTCGCGGGGGAAAGACTCGCCTTGAGGTGTCTCCCTACGGGCCGTACCGCTGTGGGTAAGGAGACGCGTCACAGTCTGAGGAAATCTGGTGGTGGTTCGTATTTTTATTGCTTTGAATTTCAGGCAACTTGGTTGAAGTCCCTCCTCTGGCCTCCTGCTGCAAGCTCCCGCATTTCCCCAGATCCAAGGAGGACACAGAGTGGGGTGTTCAGGCGTCTGGGTCTTGGCGGGGTCTCGGCCCAAGGAGCCCTAGGGCTGCAGGCCCACCCGCCAGCCGCCTGCCCCAGGCCCCGTGGTCTGCGCGGCCTGGGCTCCATCCGCTGCGCAACAGGGAGCCTCACTGGCGCCTGCTGGCTGGGGTTTGGGGACTCTGCCCACCTTCGTCTCTGAGCACTGGGTGAGGGGAGCCTTCCCACCATCCCCATGGTGGGCAGGGCAGGGCCACCGTGGCAGCCGGGCGGCACAGCGTTCTCTGGGCTCTGAAGGGAGGTCCCCAGGTGGGGCCGCTGCTTCACGCCCACACGGCTTAGAGATGCACACCTTGAATGGAAGTCCAGGAAGAGACGCGAGGGGCCTTGGACGCAGTGCCTGTGTCCGCACTCCCTCCCCTTCCTGAGACAAGCGTGGCCGCCCTCCTGGACTTTATCAGATGGGACAGGACGGTATCGTCTGATTAGCACCTCCGGCGAGTCCTGGGCGGAGAGGAGCACGTCCCTGCTGGAGAGCACAGATGTCTCGCCCGCGGAGGTGCATGTCCCTCGCCCGCGGAGGTGTCCCTCGTGCCTGGAACCGAGGCTGGGACAGCTACACGGCCCGAGCCTGTGCGTAAACACGCGGGGCAGGGGGGAGTGGAAGCGCTGGCCCGCGGGCCGGTAGCCGCCCTGTGATGGTGCGTCCTGGCTGCCACGTGAAGCAAAAGTAGAAAGCCGGCTGGTCGCAGGCAGATTCTAGGGAGCGAAGCTCAGTGGGCGGGAGCTGCCGGGCAGCGGTGGCCCCTCGGCCGCGGGAGACGGGCGGCTGCCCACACCCCCTCGGAGGAGATGAGAAGCTACCACGTTTACTCTGCCTGCTGCTCCTGGCTGCTCTCTGTAGCTGAGGGTGAGTCCTTTGGGGTCACTCCCCGGAGGCGTGAGGGGACGGGGCAGGGACCCGGCCGCGGTGGCAGCAGCTGTGCAGTGTGGACGTGGCACGTGCAGGTTTCTTGTGTTGACGAGGGAGGGTGTCTTGGTGGGTCACGTGCACCCTGCATCCCCTTGGCATTCGGAACAGCTCAGGGATGGGGTGTGAGCCCTTCGCCTGGTTATCGTCAGATGACTCTCCCTTTGGCTAATAGCCCAAGCTCTGCCAGTCCAAGCCTGGTGTAGCCAGCGCCACACCCGTCAGAGCTGCAGCCGGACCTCCTTCAAGCGCCCTTGAAGGACGAAGTCCATGCAGAACGCAGAACAGAACAAAGCCGTTAGCTACGCAGTACCGACGAGCCCATGACAGAGAAGCACGAGCAGGTGACTCACTTGGACGAATCCCCCGGGCAGTCCCGGCAGGACCCGGGCCACGCGCTGGCCAGCGGGTCTCCTCTGGGCTGAGTCCCGTCCTCTCTGTGGGAGGCACCCTGGGGTCGCCGTGAGCGGTGGCTCGCTCTTAACCACGCGCCTCTCTGGGCCCTTCCCCAGAGGACAGCGGGGACAGGACGGCCGAGGGGCTGCCTCTTCTAGGGGCACAGGCCTGGGGGGCCACCGGGTCTCTGCCTGGGTCTCATGTGGGCGGGATGGAGTCTCTTACCGCCTGCCCCTTCCAGCACTTTCTGAAAACACTTTTGGCTCCGAGGGGTGGACACTGCAGCCCCCGGGCAGGGTGGGAGTGCCCAGGACGCAGCCCAGGTCCCCCTGAGCCTGCCAGGCATGAAGTTAATCCGGGCAGTGCACTTTCTGTTTTGATTCTCTGGCGTTTTCACGTTTGTTGCATGTCCAAATTCCCCCCGGAACTGCTCTTCACCTGACAGTAGCATCCACAGAGCGGGTGCCCTTCTCCCCACATTTGGCTAAAAATACTCAGCTGGTGAATTGAAACTGAGTCAGAGCGGCCATGGGGAAGTGGAACTCGAGCTCCTGGGACCTCAGCGTCTCGTGTGGCCCTGAGTCTCAGAAAGCTCCGCTTCCGCCCCAAGAGCAGAGGCCGGGGAGGCGGGCTGGGGGCGTATCCCCACTGGCAGCAGGTGTCGCTCAGAGCTGC